GTAAAGCCGAATGTGAATACATAATCGAGTTGGTGCAAAATGAAGCCAGCCACTTCTTAAAAATCGTTTTACGCTATTACTGGTATTAGGGAGATTTCGTAGATCGTTTCCGCTGTTCCGCAACGCTCTTCGCAACCAGCTACGCTAGCCGGAACTCTACAGTCAAGGCCATCGGCGCGCCAGCGCAGTAGCGGCTGTTTCGTTGCGGAGGGCTTAGCGGAAGGGGAAACGCGGTCTACGAAAACTCCTTACTGAGACATCCTAGAAAACAAGAGGACAGAATACACCGCTAAAACTGCAGAGTTCTGATGATACCTGAATTTCGTGGTTTTCCTATATACAGGGTGTTTTTTTTATTTTTTATTCTTATACATTTCTTTAAAAAAAAAATGAAAGCCGTTTACAACTCCCTGTAACGCCGAATTAGAGCGCAGCTCTTGAGGAGGAGGAGGGAAGGGTACTGGGGGGGGGGTGGGTCAAGTGACCTCGGGGGGCGGGAGGTCACGTGACCTTGGGGGTCACGTGACCTTGTGGGAGTCACGTGACCTTGTGGGAGCAACGTGACCTTGGGGCGTCACGTGACGTCGGGGGGGTCACGTGACCTGGGGCCACGTGACGATGCCGATGACGTCATCAGTGACGTCACTGATGACGCCATCAGTGATGATGACGATGCGGATGCCGGTGACGTCATCAGTGACGTCACTGATGACGTCATCAGTGATGATGACGATGACGATGCGGATGCCGGTGACGTCATCAGTGACGTCACTGATGACGTCATCAGTGGCTATGACGTCAACGGGGGGGTCACGTGACCTCGGGGGGTATCCCCAGGTAACGTGACCCCCCCCCCCCGGGGTCACGTGACCTGGGTAACCATCGTTACCCTCGTGAGGGTAACCCTAGTAACCCTTGTGAGGGCAACTCTCGTGACCCTCGTGAGGGTAACTCTCGTGACCCTCGTGAGGGTAACTCTCGTGACCCTCGTGAGGGTAACTCTCATAACCCTCGTGACCCTCGTGAGGGTAACCCTCGTGAAGGTAACCCTTTTGAGGGTAACTAACCCTCGTAACCCTCGTGAGGGTTACGAGGGTAAGTAACCCTCGTGGAGGGTAACCCTCGTGAAGGTAACCCTTTTGAGGGTAACTAACCCTCGTAACCCTCGTGAGGGTTACGAGGGTAAGTAACCCTCGTGAGGGTTACGAGGGTAAGTAACCCTCGTGAGGGTAACCCTCGTGAAGGTAACCCTTTTGAGGGTAACTAACCCTCGTAACCCTCGTGAGGGTTACGAGGGTAAGTAACCCTCGTGGCCCTCGTGATCATCGTGAGGGTAACCCTCATGAGATTAACCCTCGTAACCCTCGTAACCCTCACGAGGGTTACGAGAGTTGCGGTTACGCCGACGCCGACGCCGACGCCGACGCCGACGGCGACGCCGACGCCGACGCCGCTCAAGCCGGGAACGGGCCCCTAAGAGCTGCGCTCTAAAACGTGAAAGCTACACTAATGCGGTTTGTGCAGGTGGGCTATACGGCCAGGCGGACATTATGTGGTGGCTAATCTTTGCGATAAGATACGTGCGGCGGGGCGCGTGCAACGTCTACTTTCCTGCACGGCACTTGATCCGGCTCTTCACGTGATCGGATCTCGGCGAATAGCGGCGCGGCGGCACGTGGAAAACAGACAAGCAACTCTGGCTCCCGTAGGGACTCTAATCGCAGCTCTCCAGTAAGCTCTTACTTTGCCACACTGGCTACAACCAAACAACTTCGACACCTCAAGTGGGTGACTGCCAGGGCGCAACCTCCCAGCTCCGTAAAACATTTCCCCGGAGGGCTAGGCTTTACGAGGGGCCAAAAAGCCTGCTGATCATTATGGGTGTTTTCTAGGCTTATCGTCCCAGAAGAAGCCGGTACAAAAAGAGACACCCCCCCTCCCCCCTTCTCTTCCCCCAATCTGGCCATGCACCATGCAGCTAGACAAGAGGGAAAGGGGGAAAAAGAGGGCGAGGAGGACTTTCCGCCAGGCGGAAGAAGATTTCTGCAGGTCCCCCTTCAAGAAACTGCGGTCCCTTCGGAGTTTCTTGGGGAGTATTCACACGAGGGAGAAATCGCTGGTATTTATCCACAGCACGCGCGACGAAAACGACAAGCTTTGCGATGTGCAAAAGCCTCGCGTTTTCGTCTCGTGTCCATCCTCTTTTAAAGGGCAACTCCGCTCAATTCCGAAAAATTTAGGCTTACACGTGATTCCACTTCCCAAAGCACTACTAAACAGCTCTACGTCCTCGGATTCGCGAAATGTGGAATATTATTTGTGTAATCTTAATTTAAACATCAGCTGATACCGAAACCGAAACTTCGGTTGCGTCAGGCAACATTGGTCTCGTGCCGTCAGAGTCACGGCCATATCACGTCGAACCACATGGTCTTGTGACGTTCGGGGGGGGGGGGACAGGACACGCGACGCGGGCAGGTCGAAGCGACCTGCCCGCGTGGATGGCGTGGATGGTGATGGCACGGGAGAGAGGGGGAGGGGAAGTAGACGAAAGAGGAGAGGGGGAGCGGAGAAACAGACCGATAAACGCGCAGGGCAGCGCAAACTAGCGCATCCGCGTTACGGTGATCACGTGGACGCCGTTCAGCCAACACCGGGAGGAGAAACTCATGACGTCATCGTTCAATTTCGCTCTGAGAAGTAAAAACAAACAAAACGTGGGGATGACGTAGTCATGCCTCTGAGGCTCAACGTTGGCCGCTCCAACTCCGTCGCATAGACTGCACTGACGATTGCGCCTCACGTCGCACGCTAGAGTTGGCAGATTTAGGCGACTTGGCTCACTTGAAGGTTTGCTGGCCAGTTTATTAAATATATAGACGGAATAAGATCGTAATATTTGACATGGGGTCTTCCTATATGATACTGAAAAGGGCTACATAGTTTTCTAAATATCAAAAATGAAGCGGAATTGCCCTTTAAAGGGGTATTCACACAAGGGAGACATCCGGGGGATTTCTCCACGGCACGCGCATCCCGCGACTAAAACGTCAGGCTTTGTGATGTGCAAAGCCAAGGGGTATTCACACGAGGGAGAAATCCCGGGGATTTCTCCCCGGCGCGCGCGCTTCACGAGACGAAAACGCGAGACTTTTGCACATCGCAAAGCCTGACGTTGTCGTCGCGGTATGCGCGTGTTGTGGAAAATTATCCGGGATTTCTTCCTCCTGTGAATTTCTGCTAAAAAAAAAAAAAAAAAAAAAAAAAAAAAAAGAACGCAGTCAAGTGTAGCTATGTGACTTACAGCCATGAGCTTCCGTCCTCGTGTTTTGGCTTTGAGCAGTTGAGTTAATTGTTCGGCTTTATTAGAAATATACGTAACCCTGCAGCAAGATATTGACTGGGTAGCCTCATACACCATATTAAATCACCTGAAAAAAAATGGGGGAGATTATTATTATATATGCAGGAAGCAGTGATGTGATTGGCCTAAGCCGCTTTGGAGCACCTTTTGGAGCAGCCAAAACGGTGTTTTGGAGCAGCAAAAGTGGTTTTTGGAGCAGGCAAAACAGTGTTTTGGAGCAGCAAAAGTTGCTTTTGGAGCAGCCAAAACAGTGTTTTGGAGCAGCAAAAGTGGCTTTTGGAGCAGCCAAAACAGTGTTTCGGAGCAGCAAAAGTGGCTTTTGGAGCAGATATTCTTAGAAAAATAAACATATTCGTTTTAAGTGCTGAACGAACAAAGGCCACTTCGCTCGCTGCAATAAACAAGTTATGGTCAAGTTCGACCACCTGGGAGTCTTTCAACATGTAATTGAAATGACAATGACATGACACATTTTGCAATGCTTCAGTTAAGTTATACATATATATGTACCGTTATAGATAAATAAGAACCAAACTGCGCATATTAAAATTTATTTGAAAATGACCAGCTTATTAGTAAATATCACAGCATTAGGTTGACTACATAGTTATATAATATAATAAATGGAAGTTGTCTCCGACTGATGAAACACGTAACTACTGCAGTGCAATGCGAAATTGTATACAAGACAAAGGTGCATTAAGACTAGCGTGTGATTTTCTTTTTGCTTTTCGAAACTTTCTACATGGCTGCTGCAAGCCTCGCTTTGCCTTTGGCTAGTAATGAATTCCCAATTTCAATGTCTCCAGAGAGACATTGAGACATCCCACAAATGAACAGTGGTGTGGGCGTTGCCGAGCAATTCCGAAAAACCGCTTGTCACCGTTTTACTGGTTCCCGACGTGCCAGATTGTCGTCAAAAGTAAGCAAACTTAAAACGATGGGTTGCAAGCATCCCGGCCGGTGCCTCTGTCGTGCAGTCATGTCCGCATGCACATGAGGGCAACTTTGGCAGGCTTTCATTTGCACGTGCTTCGTCGCGCGAGCGGAGATGGCTGTTCGATCGAAACAGACACCATGCCACTCCGTGTACTTGTTAGGCCGGCAGGCGAGGTACAAACTAAACACACACACACAAAAAAAAAAAAAAAAAAAAAAAAAAAAACCTGAGCGAGTCAGGTCGACGTCAGGTCAAAACAAGGACGTTTGGTCAAAAGAAGACAGCGCGAGTCAGGGTGAAAAAGCATATGAAAAAGTACTTGGAGCGCTTTGTACAACGACTGAAGCAAGCATCAACAAACGCGAACGTCTATCGTTGAAAATTTCTTTTTTTTTTTTAAAGACGCGAGACGAGACACATGAACGACGAGAGCGTCAAACGAGAGGTTGCGGGAAAGACTATGCAAAACCAGATGGACGATTGATACAGGGTACTTTTTGTTGGGCGGCCTCTAGCGCTACCTGGCCCATGCATGCTTAATTACGGTTCTCAGTTTAGTTTCGGTTTTAAAAGACGACCAAAATTGGTCCTTTGGCGCAGGCTTGGCGCAGATTGCCCATATTTCGGCAAAATGTAGCAGGATGTAGCAGGGTTAGCCATCACATCACTGAGGAAGTGCAATGACACACTCTGCCATGAAAACACTGCAAGGACAAGTCCTTTCTTTTATTCAAGCATCAAGTAGGAACAGCATACTAAAATCTCCATCAAGACGTGCGCAATGCTCCTCCAGAACAAAGCATATAAATAAGTTGTGACTAAAGTTGAACACTCAATGGTAGGTGCATTCAATTTTCTAGATGTTCTGCACTTCTGTGGACCCTCTACCCGAACCCCAATGCTCTTCAGAAAATAAAGCAATGTGCTTCCATACCCTGGTGCACAGTAATGCGTGAAAATTCCCTTCATAGATTCTATGCTGCCACATGCCATAAAAAGCAGTGAGAAACAAAATAAAAAATGTCACCTTTATTTTAATAGGTCAGTGCACCCATACCGAAATTTATTGCCGTGCCAATATTTTCTCAACGGGTTTTTGCTTGCAATTGTCTATAACCTGGCACAGAGCACAAACGACAGGAGAAACTCCTCCGAAAGAGCCGCCTCACAACTTCCAGCAGTACAAAGGCTTTTTTGCACAAACTTCAATGTAAAGATTAACTGACAATGAGCACAAAAGGGACTCCTAGGGACCCTCAAAGGTTGCTCTCTCCTGTCTGCACTGTAAATTCTTTTTGTGCCAAAGTTCACACAGAGCAGCTGTAAGTGGTGAGGAGGCTTTGTGAAAAAACTTCTCTCACATTTGTTAAGCTGCCACACTTGATTCTCCCACTAGGTGTAGAAACAACCAGCACTGCTAGCCGATGTAACAAAAGCGACTTTTCAGTAGCATGAGGAATATTTAGCAGTAGTGCCTGTTCTTTTGTCGTCGGTTGGTAACGTTAAAGCACAAGGCAGGTTACCAACAAGGAGCATTTGATATTGTTGAGCAGTGTTCGCTGGATCTGCTAGAACTAGGTCATAATGCCCGTGTACCACTAGAGCGACAGACAGAAACAAACGACAGCAACAAGCCTCAAACCAGAGTCTTTCGCGATTTGAGAGGGTTTGTAGAATAAAAGAGGCTATGCTCAAACACGAGCATCATGCACGCAATGGTATCTTTGGCAGGCAATCGCTCGTGCTTACTTCACGAGCACCGAACGACTGAACGCCTGCCAAAGGTACCATCGCGAGCATGCTGCACAGGTTTGAGGCTTGTCGCTGTCTTTTGTTTCTGTCTGTCGCTCTAGTGGGACACGGGCATTAGAGATGTCAAAGGACCTCAGCACAAGTTACTGCATAACCCTACCATAAGCGATGCAGACCAGAAAATGTAATTGCACAAAAATACATAATTCTTTAGAAAAGGAAACTTCCCATGGGGAGACTTAGACAGTCGGAACTGAAGTAATGCACTGTCATTATTGAACATATATTACTCCTTGAAACACATGTACATGCGCACATACACACACACAAAAAAGTTGTAAGCAATGCACACATCTGAGCAAGGCAGTCAAATGCAGTACACAATTTTCGGTTTTGTGCTCCATTTCTTAACATGGCCTACTGCAGTCCTTGTAACATCCATCCTACATCTTCACTAAAAACAGTTTTGCAGAAACCAGGAGCTCCAAGCAGAGGTCTGACCACTAGCTCACTTAACATTGAAACCTTACATGTCCCTATTAGAACGCGAGTTGGTAGAATGCTCGTAAGCACGCCGGGCTTTTGTAAAAGAGAAAAATGCTTGTTGCAGTGAGCGAGCTCTCAAAAGCAAGTATTGTGTGCACCAGTGTCATCACCGAGTTATCACTAGAGCGAAGGCTTTCTTTGTCGAAACATAGTAGACACAAACTTTGCTTTTCTAGAAAGAGGCAGGACAACCAAATTTGTTTCATCTATGCACAGAAGACCACAAAAATGGGCCTAACCTAGAGAACCAATGAGAGCAACCTTTGTACAAAAATCAATGTGTTGTAAAAACCTGTACAACTTTCTCTTGCAACGCCACATATTTGGAGGCACTCAAACAGTCACCTAGGCACTAGCAAAGCTAGAAATAAAAAGTCCCCAAATGCAAACAAAACCTCAAAAGTCGTGGGCAGCCACTCCCATGGAAAACCACAGCTATATGACATTCCCCAAGAGAGTAAAACAAAGCTGTCAAAAATAGCATGCATATCTAAAATTATCGAACCCTATGCAGTGAAGAATTTATGTAGCAGTCATTTTCAATCCCCCCCTGCATGAGTAAAACAAAGGTTATCAAGAACAGGTTTCCCTTTCTAATAATGGACAGCCCGACTGAAGAGTTGCCTAATCCCCGAGTGGCTTCACCACAAGAATGCATAGAGTGGCAGGAGCGTTATAGACATCCCTCATTCATTACAATTCTAGCATCAATCTATTGAGAGAAAGACCTCTGTAACTGGAGCTTCAATTCCAAGGCTGTCAACTAATTGCGCAGAGTGCTGAAAGTGCAATGCACAAAATAGTTCTCCACCGAACGGAAAACCAGAGTGCGATTTCGGTTTCCCCGCCCCCTAGCATCCTTCTCACCCAAGGAAGCTGATCCTCACAGAGGAGGGTGAGGCTTCCTCCTTTCTGGGACAGAAAGGGGGGAATAGGGGAGTGGATTTGTTCTGCCTGCATTAACTTTCAGGGGAACCAATAGATTTTCTAAAGCAAGCTACCCCCTCACAAAGCAAAAGAGAAAAATGGGGTGCACCATTAATCCTTAAAGCTAGAGCTCTGTCTCGCAGCTTGTTTTTGTAATTGAAGATCTCTGATGTATCTTTGTATAGAAGAAACAGTAAACCTTGCCTTAAATCATCGGCACTCCATGCAACTGGGAGCAAGCAAAGCTTTGTCTTTCCCAAAAAAGCAGCTATAGTCCGTTGCAACCTAAGAACGAAGGGCGAGGGTAAGACGGGCCGGGGAGGAGGAAGCAGGCGAAACACTGAAGAGAGAAGGAGGTTTCCCCCTCTCTTCTCCAGCGTTCCGTCTGCTTCCTCCTCCCCGGCCCGTCTTACCCTCGCCCTTCGTTCTTAGGTTGCAACGGACTATAGAGATGTTTTCCTGATATCTTTGAAAATGTTTATTAAGATCCCCACTTCCGTTAAACAGTAGGCCAACGCAACCATGGAAAAAACGTCCTTCAATCAACACCAGTCACGACAGCACCACCTACATCCTATTAAACTTCCGTTGACAACATGCTAGTATATCCGAAAGCTCATTTTTCCTGGAACGGGTGCAGGAGATTACTGATACGTCATCCTTTTCACAAGAAAGTGCATTAAAAACATGAATTCAACCACACTGTAAAACCAGTTCCCAAGCTGAGGGCATGGTCAACCCTTCCCAAAGGGTCCACTCTCTCGTTTTCAAAAGTTTTCCCTAACACCACTTCGATTCTTTAAAACAATGCAGCAGGGTTGCAAACACCGAGACAGGTCGCTCGATTTTGAGCGTGACCCTAGGGATAGCCGACCCGCAACATTTACTATATACTTTAGGAACTTGCCGTCTGCAGTAGCTGAGTGGTAATCATAAATAGGAACAACTCTTGCATGCTTGTCAACGCTAAAGTGAGCTCCGACTCAACAAATGTAAATGTTTACGTTCCTCGTTTGGAGGCGCCTCCATTTTGAAATAAACTCGCAGAACTGGTTCCCTACGTTGAGATGCAAGTGTGCGGGCCTAGGGTGGACACACAGCATGGCAAAATGCTGCGACGCAATCGACCAGATAAAGTCCTATTGGTGCACGCCTGAGTAGCGTCAGCCGACAGCGTCAATGCTGTGCAGACGGTGCAACTGAGGAAAAGAGAAAGAAACAAAACTAAAGAAGTGTAGCGTTTCCATGACACCCAGACCCTGAGCGTCTGCTCCGACCTTGACGAACGCTGGCTTGAACACCGCGCCACAGATCTCTATGGTTCAATGTGTTCATAAAACTGTTATTGCCGCCGTTGAGGCACGAAACTAGGGTCAATGACAAAGCAGTATCTACGTGATTAGGCGCAACCCGAAAACGAGTTTAAAAACAAGCACGTTTTCCGAAGAAAAGCATAGGAAACCAAGCCCGCAACAGGCTACCATTAGCTGCATATCGAGGAGCCATCTGGTGGTGCTGCTTGCCACCAAGCTGATGAGAGGACTTTATCTCGCAGCTACAACGTGGGCAGTGTCCACACCTATACATATCTTACACGTTGGTCCCGACTCCCTAAACTTCTCTTCCAAAGAGAGTTCCCAAGACCGGCTCTTTGAGTCGAGGGAAGTCGAGACGCCGGCGCACGAGCTTAGGGGACGGTTTCTTTAATGTCTTTCCTTCTGTCCTAAGTAAACCCCCCCGTTTGCCTCAAGCCCTGATGAGAGTGCCCAGATTCCTTCCAGGGCCACTCTCCCCTCCTCCCCTTTCCCGCCGTTCCTCTTCCACCTCCTCCTCCTCCTCGTCCTCCGAGAACTCGGAGTTGCAGGTGGCGTCCTTGCCCAGGCGGACAGTCTTGGCGGGCGGAGATCCGGATCGCTCCCTCTCGAAGGACGACGACGGACTGCCTGGCGGACTGCCGGTGGGCGACAGGGCGTTCTTCAGCCGGTCCTTGCTCTCATTCCACAGGTGGTTCTGCAGAGCGGGTGAGAGGGGGGGGTGGGGAAGGAGAGGACAGCGGGGGCACATTCCGGGATTTTAGTCTCGGGCCGCTGAAGCGAGGACACCTGTCGTGCACTTTCAGGTTGTTAGTTCGGAGCAGCGTGCCAAACAGAAGCTCTCGTACGTTATGCAATACGTTAAAAGTGGCACCGTCAGTCTCGCCAGCTCAAATTTACGAGAACAATGCACACTTGGTCAACCTACAGCTACACATGCCGTAATGTCCCGAGAAATCGCCCACCTAAAGGCCAGAGCAAATCGGGTGAAAATGTGGAGTGAGCTAACTTTCGGTGTGCAATCGAGAAAAAAATTAAATGCTATATTTGTATTCTGTGACCTGCTAAACTTGTTTTCACATTGAGGGGCAATGAAGCTGAGACAACTGTGCTTCCCAGTCAGCAAGCAACTACCTGGACAAACTTATGTGGTGAATTAGTGTCGTAGCTTACAAATTCGGCTTTTACGCGCCTGAGGAAAAAATAACGAAAAAAAAGTGAAAGCCGTTTACCACTCCCTGTAACGCCGAATTGGAGTGCAGCTCTTGAGGAGGAGGAGGGGAGGGTACTGAGGGCCACGTGTTCTCGGGGGGGGGGGGGGGGTCACGTGACCCCCCCCCCCCCCCCCCCCGAGGGCACGTGACCTTGGTGGGGTCACGTGGAGGCAAACACGTGCTTCCCCCTCAGAGGTCACGAGAACTCGGGAGGGGGCCACGTGACCTCGGGGTGTCACGTGACTCCCCGGGTCACGTGACCAAAATTTTTCCGCTAGATTTAGCGGGGAAACTTTTTCCGCTAGATTTAGCGGGGAAATTTTTCCGCTAGATTTAGCGGGGAAATTTTTTCCGCTAGATTTAGCGGGGAAATTTTTCCGCTAGATTTAGCGGGAAAAATTTTCCGCTAGATTTAGCGGGGAAATTTTTTCCGCTAGATTTAGCGGGGAAATTTACCCATAACGCACCGCGCGGTTACGCCGACGGCGACGCCGCTCAAGCCGGAAACGGGCGCCTAAGAGCTGCGCTCTAAAAACAGACGTCTACAGCTTGACACACGTCTGTTCGGTTGTTGCGGAACGCGCCGTGGAGAGCCTCAAAGCTTTGTGTCTGGGACTGACCCGCCGCGCGAAAGCGCCAGCACTGTACGTCACTGGCAGCGCGGCGTAGAGCAACGCCGCTTTATCCACGGAGCCCCGATGACAATTTAGGCCTAGCGACGAGTGCGGGAGACTGCACGCACGCCGACAGCTGCCGAGTACGGCACCGAACTAGTTTACTCGTTTTCTAGTCGCTAGCTTTTAGGTATACAAGCAACGAGTACGGCACAGCATAGCGCACGCGCGGCGGCGGCCGCCGAGTACGCCACCGAACGAGTTGACGGGTTTTCCAGTCGCTAGCTTTCGGGTATACGCACTAACTCTTGCTACATATGCTGGATAACTACCAGGTATACAGAATTAAAACAAAATCAGCTTACATTTTATCTTTAGACGGCTAGCGCAACAGAGGTAGGTGCCGCTTGGACTGCGTACTCGCTGAACGAGAACGATCTTGGCGTCACTTCCACATAGCGGCTGATTTCCAGTGTTGCCGGAACCTCGAGCGGCTAGTTTCGGTTTTGTCGGCCGCGCCCCAAACAAAACTTTGAGACGTTGATATCTTTAAAACTACGCACAATAACGAGAAAAAAATTACACCTTGCAACTCAGGGGCGCTAACTGCGCTATTAACAGCCATAATCCCAAAATCGAAAGTATGGACCGGAGTTGCCCTTTAACAGCTCCGCTGCGAAATTGGGGGCAAGTTATCTTTCTGGGGTGGGCATCTTTGGGGATATTATGCTATGTTACTTGGGCTTTGCGACGCTGTATATGTATTTGTTAGCCCTCGGGAGTTGCTACCTATAGCATCCAAATCTATATTTGCGGTCACTTCGCTCAAAATGCATAGCGTGAGAAAATTTTGTAGGAAGTGCTCGGCAGTGCTGGAATAAATGCAGTAAATCAAACTCCCTTAATCTCTTCTTATATGTGAAGACAACTTGAAACCTCCCACAATTACTGCTTGCTTTAATGCGAGGAGACACCAAGGGATAATGTAGACTTTCAATATATTTGGATGCATATTCGTACCCTATCTTATTTAGTGCTAAATAATAAAGACATTGACACCAAGTGTGGGGCCATTTATGACACAGAACCCTTTCCCGGAACATTACTTGGAATGGCCTGCGAATCTTACTTGGACTGTCTCTCAAACATACAAGAGATTAATAAAAGGAAGCAAAAATAATTCAATAAAACTTTGGTTTGGTCTAGTAGGTTCACATAATTTAAAAGGTTAAAAGTGCAAACTGAGACACGAACGAAACAAGAAACACGTATGACAAGGTTAAACCCTACTTACGTGTTTCAGTTCACATTTTCGGCCGTTTAAAAATAATTCTATTACAAAACAATGGTGATGAATGAAACAAAGCATTCAACTTCATGTTAATTTGATCAACAAGTGTGCACTGCAACATACAAGCTGTTATATGTTCTTTTTACGCACACCTAGTCATCAGCAAAATCTCATTTATACGAGTCAGCATGGCTTCAGAAAGTCACTGGTGACAGCAACTCAAATCCTTCGAATTAATCCTAACTAATGCTCTCCTTACTATGCCTTCATGCGTGTTGACAAGCTTGGATCACTATCATAAAGTAGGTATCACCTTCTATACCATCAATACATTTTCGTATTCATTCATCCCATGCACATCAAATGGCTGGAACTGCCTTCCCTCTCCCATTGCCACGATAATTATCCAATTACAAATGACAAGAATCAGTTGTGCGGAACACATTTTCCGATGTCGCCGGTCCCCTCTTCAATGCCTGGCCTCGAAGGTGTGCAAAAAATTTGCAGTTTTATTTCTATCCATGGATCAAACCGTCATGTGCAGAATTGTATTCCACGACGAATGCAAACTTCAGCCTCAGCCTTCCAAGCATACAACGCATGTCAGCAATGCCACATCCTCCTTTTGTACCCCCTTTTCTTGTTTTGGAAACCTTCACAGCTGGCAAAACCTTCTAACACCACCTCACAGTCCTCTATACTGTCTCTACTGTTCTTTTTTTTGTTGTTGTTTTCTCTTTCTACGGTCGAATTGTGTGGCCGGCGGAGCTTGCGGCAAAGGTGTTTGGCAGCGAGATTTTACATCTTTACACGGGTATTTGGTGCGGTACCCCAACCACAACTGTTAGCCAAACATGCATTAAAGGGATACTACAACGAAATTTTGAAGCTTATTTTTTGGTCTACACGTGTTCAAAAAAGCAGTATCACATCGGACACTCCAATATCTTGTTAAAAAAGACACGAAAAGAAATTTTAAAACGAATGAAACGATTAGCAAAGAGCACCTGGTAGATGTCGCTAAAGCCTCGTTTGTAATGCCCGTCTAGGAACCTTGACAGGTGGTGACAATAACCGTCTCGTTTAGAATTATACATGCTTTGAATGACGTCATCCCGACAGCTCTACGGCCAGAACAAGAGAAGAGGGGAGGGAGAACGGCACTTTCTCCCTCCACAAGATTATAGAAGATTAACCCGTCACTTAAAATTCACACAAGAGCAGATTAGCGGTTAGTTGCGGTGGCCCCGATCGCTAGCGTGCTTAGACTGCTTCAGTGGCTGGAACAGCTAGGGCATCCTGACGACGTCAGCCTCACCGCAGCTTTGCTCATCTCAAGACAAACTATGTCACAATTATGCTAGATGTGACGTGCTCTCCGCTGGCTGCCCTCCAAGCGCTTGCCAGAGTGGGCGATTTATAACAATAAATACAGTCAAGCTCAAAATACAAACGTGTGATTGTCGTTTACGGATATCGTAGATCATGTTCAGCTTATTTCTGAACATGACAAGTATATTTCATATTTCATTGAAGTATCCCTTTAAGAAAATTGCTATAATTGGATAGCTGCATATTTCACACAAAGGAGAACAAATTTTCAATTTACTGAAGGTGATTAACAGGCTTTCCATTAAATAAGAAATTCCACCTAATTCCCTGCTTGAACCACCATTGTTTTTGGTTTGCATTAACAACATAACTATCAACATTGGTGGCTGTTTGGACTGTTTGTAGACTGCTTGAAGATTGTAGATTTCAAGAAGCTCTTTCTGTCATACTTGACTGAGCTAAAAAGAAATAGCATATGAACCTTAATTATGATAACAGCTGTGATGACAATCTCATGAAGTAAAAAAGAAAGGAGTTTCATTACACTTTTGAAAGACGACATATGCAAAGCAAGGATAAAAATTGAAGGATATGAGACCTGCACTTAATGTATAATGAACTGATTCATTAACTGGAAATGACCCTCATAAAAGCCAGAGGAACTTTGCTTAGACTGGGATTGAACTTAAAATTGCAGATTCAGACACTAAACTACCAAGATAAGTTTTGTTACACCCTAACTAGAATGTGTTAACCCAGTCGGGTACCCTTTCACCAACAATGGTGGCAAACTGGAAGGTACCAAAAATGTAGCTGCTCAGTTTGTTCTTAACTTTTGCATGCAATTGTCATTGACGGGATAAGTTGGAAGAACTCGTCCATTCACGTTGCAGATGAGAGAAAAAATCAATATATTAAACAATTCTTGTGCATAGATTCACTCTGTTTAAGACATTCTTCATTACCTCCAGCAATTCAACACAAAAACCAACCTGAACATGATACTCCTAGTCATCGTGACAGCTGCCAATCATTTTGGGGCAGCTACGAAATTTCACTTCAGCTAATATTCAGCAGGAGTGACTGTGCATTTTCGTTTGATCAGCTTTTTACCCCTGATGATAGTGCACTAAAATCAATAAAGAGATAAATAAATAAATGAACTGAAGTGCTTTCAAACAACTGGAAAACAAGAAAAATAAAACCAATGATGCAACTGAAAAACAAATGCAAAGACGTGACTGGT